TCACCTGCAAAGAGATGGAAAAAGAACAGAACAACCAACGGACATGGTACAAGATATACAGTAATGTAACACCTAGATAGAAAACTTTGAATCAATCTGACTGGATGATCTGGTGAACTGGAAAGTGACCTGAGATGACATGATGTGAATTGGAGCTATAGAAATAGACTGAATAGAATTGAATAGATTATTGGACCTGAACAGAAAGTCATCATCAGGTCTTTAACTAAACCAGGTCCAGGTCATCCATCCCCTCTGCTATCAGGCTATGGATGCTGACAGCTGTAGTTTGATTTGCTGAACCAATGACATCAGAGCAGAAGGTCTCATCGTTTCTCCTCATACAACAAGCCGTTACCAAGGCAACAGGCTCCTCCCACAGAAGGTGAAACCAGGAGCTGTCCCTGGGATGAGTCCAGGTTACCTGAAAGACGATGGCTGGCAGCGTGGTCTGGTAGTAGCCATCTTGGTCCGCCTCAGGCTCCGTTTCTTTCATCCAGTCTTTCTTATCGGTCTCCAAGGCTTTCCGCAGCCAACCGGTTATATTAGACTGGAGAGACAGAAATAGATAGATGAGCTGGGACCTACTGATGAATAAGAACAACAGCAAGTCCTGCAGCTCACAGAGAGGTGGGCCTCAGGAGACGTTTATCAGTGATGGATCCATTAACAGCAATGAGTCTGTGCAGGCGTGGAGCCCATAGACCAGAGGTCACGGATTATCGGACCGCGGTCCGGATCCGGACCCACCTGATTTAAAACATTTATAAATTACTGCATGTTTTCCGACAGCAGAGTCTAATTTAACTGGCGCCTCTTCTCCTGTTAATATGGTAAAGCCCTCCGGAGCGTCCGGCTCATTTTATTTCAGTGTTAAATTCATAATAAAGTAACAGAATATAATGAAAAATGTCTCCTTTACTGATTGATGATTTTCTTTATATATAAAATAATAGATTATAACCTCTAATAACTTCAATGCTATCATTGTTCCAGGTCATCAGATCAGTTCAGTTTATTCTGTCCAATCAGTTGCCTGTAGTGTCTTTAAATGTCCAGCAGGTGTCAGTATTCTGTCAGACAGAATCTAGACTTAACCGACACTAGAGTTTAAGTTAGGAGTCTAATCAGACCTAAAACTGAACAGAGGAGGAGACACTAAACCAGGAAAGTCTAACTCCATTAATCTGAAAACATTTCATCATCTTTAACTACTTTAGAACAAGAATAAACAGGTTTATACTGGAATGAGCAGCTCTAATTTAATGCTCTTAGAAATAATTTTAATGCCATCAACCCAAGAACCCACGACTCTCATATTTACGCGGCAAATCCTTCGTCATCTTTACTGTCGACAGGCTGCAATTCCTTTTTTTTCCAGCCATGTTTGTTGAAATTTGTATTTTCCCGTTCTCCAGCTATTTCTCCGCCTCATGCGGCTTTACGACCAACCGAAGCAGATCCACGCAAATGTATCACCAAATATCTGACAGAACTGTTTTTAGAAACTTTTTTTTTTTTTTTATAAAGCATTTTAAATGTCAAAATAATCACATTTAATGAATTTTAATGCCAATTCGGGCCTTAATTTAAAAAAATAATTATTTAATTGCTAATGATCTTTAATGACCGCGGAAGCCCTGATAAATCAGGTTTCTGGGACTGCAGTACCCGTCAGCCACCAGCAGGTGTCAGCATCAATTGGGGATATTTTCAGACCCGTCCCTCAGAAACCCGGCCTGGCCTCAGAAAGGATAATGAAGCCTTCGCTCCTGAACACGGTTCAGTCCTCAGGCTAATCGGACCCTCCTCGCCGTCGGCCATGTTTACCGTGAACGTCTTAACGTATTTGCTCAGCAGGTCGTCCACCACTTCCTGCGGCAGCAGCGGCTCCAGCTGGTTGATGTCGAACTCTGAGCAGAGGTCCGGATGTCCCATCATCTCATTGCTGTGGAGGACACAGAGTCAGAGCGCGTTACCACGGCGACCTGCTCGCTGCGGGGGG